AACAAATATAATCGGACAGAACTGACAAGTTTCCATGTATGAAAACAAGGCACCTCTACCTAGAGTCTTGCTCAATAGACGCGATGAAATAATGATGGCAACGCTTTAATGTTACAATTTGTGCACAGTGAGTGTGCTTGTGGCATGTATACATCAATGGTCGAATTACGAAACCACGTATCTATATTCTAGTGTTTTCAAATTTCCGCTCCTATATATTTTACTTTTTTGAAGAAGAACATGCCAACTTTATAATTTTAAATTTGTACAGAATATTCTGCTGGCAGCGAAGAAAAAGTAAGAAGGTCTTCAAGAAATTACGTTGACTACCTCTCTAAAGAAAAAATAAAAGATGACAGAAAGTCTGCAACATCGCAAACAGAGATACGTGGTTTCTTACTTTGGCCATCGACCTACAATAAAGGACAAAACAAAGGACTGTCCATTTTACCAGCGACTCATATTACAAGCTCCTCGTGTATATTGCACTTGCACTGCCGGCTGCTGCCCGGGCGAGAGTAACCAAAGTGCCTTCTAATCTCTGCGTATGCAACGCGCACCTCCCTGGAACACGTATAGTTGTATCCAGGCGCTACTGTGATCTTTGCGTCATTGCGTCACATCCATCGCCCCAAGGCGGGAGGTGGCAGCTTGTTTCTAAAATTTCACTCCATCAAACACAATTACTTCACTCTTAAAGTTTTCATCATTTAATGTTTTGGAACACTCGCGCTGACATTAATAACTATTTCCCAATCAAGATGCAAACTTGTTGCAAAAATTGAAAAAAAGTTAGTAAAAAAACAACGTTAAGTTACAATGAGGCGAATTTTTTAGTTTCTTCCACAAAATATATGTGTAGGGCGTAAAGCTGCACTAAATTCTGGCAGTTTTGTGGCCTGAGTATGGCAGACTATAGTTTCGAATGCCTTTTCCTTGAAATCACTTTCCTATAGACTGCTCACTGCAATCCACAATTTATTCGTCTTGACGTGCTTTTCCCCTCAAAATATTTGAAGATCACCTTTGTGCGATCTGGTATCAGTGATTCAATTTTGAGTTTTTATGGACAAAGGCACTTTCCCCCATGGACGATCACAAATCGTCATTTCCGTCACGAAAGAACTTGACAACATTTCAATGTTACCAAATCCCTCGCGAATTGTATTTTTACCAAGGGAATGTTCTGTATTTCAAACCGAAAATCTCACTGATTTTTTCTCTGATCCCGTACATAAGTCATTAAAATTTCGTCCAAAAATGGCACAGATACATTTTTGTGAAAATTTGAATTATTCGAGTCAACTTTGCAAACTTGGAGTGCAGTTACGTTCCTTTGTCCAAAAAACGACAAAATATGTGCGGATTTTTTCTTTTGTTTTTTCTTTTCTTTTTATTATTTTCTCAAAAAAATTGTTTTGTTTTTTGTTTGTTTTTTACTTTTTTGTATTTTTTTTTTTTTTTGCTTTATTCTTTGTTTTTCTGTTTCTTCTTTTGTTTTTTTGTTTTTCGTTTGTTTTTTGCTCAACTCACCCAACATGATCCGCAGTTACTTTGATCCCAGATATCAGCAATCCTTGGGCACCAGTCCTTCCATTTGGACCGCGCGTCGAAAGTAGCCGGGATCTCTGCATCAGACGGCCATGCGGGATCCGCAGTTTTAAGTGGCGGGTTAGAGGATGAGTACTCCATGGGCAGCTCACCGAGGAGTGATTTGATCATTTCCATGGCCTCCGGAGAGTCCTCAAAATTTCTACCTACCTGCAGAAAAATGATTTTTCATACTTGCGGAAAAGGAGGCAGTAACGAGTCTTGAAAAGTGGCAACCAGTGGCGAGGCGTGAATGATCGATTATCGATATTTCCCTATTTGAAGCTGTGCTGAAAAATCGATTATTATGGTGTTCGTTGCGAACACCCTGTTTATCAATCCTTTTCCATAGGTTTAAATGGCACATCAATCGATCAATCGCAAAGCATGCCACGCAACTGGTGGCAGCCGTGGGCTTCGTCCATTTTAATGTATGTGAAGCAATCAGGGTGGCATTTAGACGAAACAAATTGATGGTATTGGAAATTTCCTCGAAATATCTCTATAAAATTTTGAAAGGCAGTGAAATGTTTGACAATGTAAAACATTAATTCCAAGGGTCTGCACACTTGCATACGCAACCCGAGTTGAAAAAAAATACCCCAAGACGAAAAAAATCCTCTCCTTTTATTTACCTCTGACTTTGTATTTCTTTTCCGCAATTGTAAAACATGTGTGATAAAATTTGGTGCCTCCGAACAACAATGAGCAACGTTTTTAATAATTACCCTCCAAGAAATTAGCATGGACTCATAATTGACACTTTTTAAGATATTTTTTTTATCTTGTTTCGTGAATTAAGAAAATTCGTTAAAATATTTCACGTGAAATTGCACGATTTTAAATTTCTTGAAAAATTGCCAATGTGCAAACAATCGACTCTTTATGGTAGAGTTAAATGAAGGAAAAACAGAGTTACCATCTTGCCAAGATCGCCACTGAGAAAGAGGCTCATAGGCGGATCCAGCAAATTGGCAACGTTGTTTTTCTCCATTTAAACACATGGAAATGAATCGATTCTTTGAGGGGTCAGGTTCTCCGACAAGAATCGATAATTTAACATGGGTTTAAATGGAGGGAATCCGGTGTTGCCGCATTGCTAGGTCCGCCTCTGAAGAGGCTCGATGTATGAGATGAGAGTCGACACTGCCGACAGCTACTGACATTAAGAACATACATCGATGATTAAAATAAAAAAATGCATACCTCCGCTTGCGAAGTTGCAAATTAATACCGATGCTTTATTCTATTTTAAGTTTCTCTCAAACTTTGAACATCAACGGGGATTTTGATAGGTAGGTACGTTGGTTGTAATTCGTAAATTTCGAAAAGAACGAGCTAGTGAAGTCAGTATTCTGCCGTGCTAAGGAAGAACGCCGTACGAACATTTGAAAGTTGCCAAATTTTATTCGATAAAATGTTTATTTTTGAAGACATTTATGAATATTCTTCCTTTACACTTGCAGAATCTTTAGGTGAAATTGCGAACGAAATTATCTGAAAAATTGGAAGGAAAATATTCACAAGTTTACCAGGAAATTCGCGTTTTATCAGAGGAAATTTGGCAACGCCTGAAGGTTCATACGGCGTTTTTCTTTAGCACGGCAATATTACCTACGTTAGTAAGATACGGGGTTTCACCAGTGCAGTATTTTTACGAAGAGAGACCCCAAAAAACCGGAATTCTGCTGTAACTTGGCAAAGATGGAAAATATTCGGGTTCCACCGCTAGAGGAGGTGTAACTAGGAGCGTTGCCTAGGAGCTATGAAGAGTCACTAGGCCAAATTTTAACGTCACAGAGCATTTTATTTCATTTTGGTGAGGCTTGGCTGAAGGGGTTGTTTGGCGAGTTTGTCGTATTTGTAGATAGACGATTTTCACCGGCAATGCTTGGCTAACTTTGTCAATTTTTGGAGTGAATTTTGCAGGAAACATGCTTTATCTATGACATACGTGAAAAAAAAAAAAAACTTTACGAAGTGGCTCGAACCGTATGTAACAAGGTGGAGAAATGGTGCTGGGTCCACACCATTTCGCGGGGAAAACAAAGCCAAGAAGTTCCAAAAATTATAATCAGCGTCAAAATTAAATGTTTTGAACTCTAACGCGTACCAGTACGAAACTGAGGGGAAGAGTGTTCAGCTCAGGCAGTTTGCATTGGAATATTAAGTTGGAGTCACGCCGACGTGGTTTAATAATTTTGGCCTCCACCTCCTCGCCTTCCGCACTGTGTTTGACGCAATGCGTGTGGTATTCACACAGTCTTGTAGGCGCTAATATGCGTTCCACGCCCACCGCAGACCGCACTGTGTTTGGCGCAATGCGTAAAGTATTCATGCAGTCTTGTAGGCGCTAATATGCGTTTTATGCCGACCGCCGCCGCGCCGAGCCGAGTTTCCCTCTATGAGAAAGTTGCCACTTTCCCTCTATGAAAATGAATTTAAAAAATCGATTGTTTTACTTAAATTAAAAGAAGGATGGACAGTGTATTGCCACAAATTGTGAGGATAGCCTCTGCAAAATGTTAAGATCCCTGGTCGTTTATGTTTACGTAAGCCAACCATAAGCGGATCGAGACACTTCGAAGGGGGGTTGCAATGGTGTGTAAGGGGGGGTGGGGGGTTCCCCATAAAATGGTTGAAATTTGAAAGCATATAATATGCAGTTTGAGTTCATTTCCGTATGAATAATTGCCCAATATAAGCGTCTTTCCTTCCTCTTCCCTCCGTTCCTTCCTTCCATTTCACTTCCTCTTTTTTTTCGGGCGAACGGGGGGAAGGACATTTGCCCCGTAAGCCCTCCTCCATTGGATCCGCCTATGAAGCAAAAAATCCTTTCAGCCTTAAAACGAAAAAAGCTTACCGTCCAAGAACTTTGAATCGAATTGATGTGGTTAATATACTCATCGCTAAGGAACGAATCTGACGGGGTCGCTGTCGCCTGCGCAGCAGTAAGGATAAGGCAGAGCACAAAAACTGGGGCACAAGATCTGAGGACCATCTCGGTGTGAACTGACAAATATCAACGGAAATACAAGTGGATGAATACCTCCACTTCACATAGAGGACCGAGCAGACTAAAACTAATCACCACCGGGCGAAAATCTTTTAAAATTATAATCCACTTTGATTGTTTGTTTCTTTTTTTTCACTCGAATTTATTCTTGAAATCTCGAACTTCAGATCCCGCAACTTTTCCGCGTGAAATTCTCCTATTCGGTTCGAGCCGGGCACAAGTGGCTCTTGAGGAGACAATCATTATGCAAATGCGTGAAAATCTGAAGCGAGCATTCTAGGAAGTTAGTCTCGGAGTATTATCCCTTAATCCACGGGATATTTGACAAGCACCGTTTTGCGCAAGACAAAAGAAACCACTCGACGAGGGTCACAGGTATTGAATACCTGAAACTTGTTATTTTCTTAAACTTATAAATTTCTCATGCATATTCACTAACTCATTAGGGATGGCTGGATTTTGTCCATTTTCCTCTTTTTTACTTCTATCACCCAGCTATCTCCTACAATCGCCCATTAATTTTATTACTGAACTTGCAGCTGATAGCTCCACTGATTATAGCCAGCCAATAGCGTGTAGACTTGTTGTCTCACCACCTGTGACGTCAGCAAGTCTATAAAAGCTTGCGCTGCCCCAAAATCTTGGTCCTTTACCATCTGACCCGTACATGTACGCCGTGCCACTCTCGCCCTTATGGCACATCCCTGTGTGACAAATCTAATTCTTGTAAATCTGTTCTCAATATTAATATACCAATCTTTTCGGCCCTCCAAATATTCTCATTTTTGCTCTCCTACAGAAACCTTTTAATTTTCCGCCGCGTCAAGGATTCTGAGATGTTTTCAGTCCGTCTCAAACTCAACAAATCCCACTGCCGTGCCATGGGACCACAACCGAATCCCATAGACGTGACATGGTGCCGAACCCTGTTCTCTGACTCTTTAGCTCAGATCGAACCAAAAGACATGAAGTTCCTTTTCAACAGAAAAGAAAAGAAGTTCCTGTTCCACCCGGAACAGACGAGGCGATTTTACGGAGTTACCCTTTTCCTCGTGCATTTGCGAAGCGAAAAAAAGACGTCTCTAAGATCTGGTTCTGGAGATCCTTTTACAACATCTGTGCCACTGTCTCTCTGGTTTTTTTTTGGACTCCATCCCTGCTGCCTCGCTTCGTGGATCTTCTCATCTCTCTCTCTCTCTCTATCTCTCCATCGCCTCCATCTGTGATATTTTTGTAAACTTCATTGTGTTGGTGCTTAAGTGGAATTGTAGTGATTAAGGTTGGTCAAGTATTCTTTTATTTCTTTTTCCCCCTCCCACCGCCCTAAATTTTCCTTTTTATTTACTGTCATGTCTAATTCTTCTTTTTTTCAGGTCATTTCTCTTTTCTTGTCGTAAATTTTCAAAATTTCAATTTTACACTCTAGTAACTGTTTTGTCTTTCACTGCATTTCTAGTCCTTTTTAATCTTATTACTTACTTCATGCCAACAAACAGTATTTTCTAAATTTTTATCTTTACTACCTTTTCTTTTTTGAGTGTAAAATTAGTTTTTCGTACATATGAAATTTTGCGATCCATCAATCAGTATTTTTCTAATTTTTTCAAAGTAACTTTTTTTTAGTAATTTTTCAATAGTTTTCTAATTTTTTTCAATCTAGTAATTTTTATTTTTTTTTTTCGATCAGATTTTCACCATTTCTTGCTTTTCTTTCGTATTAATTTTAGTTTCAGTTTTCAAAGACACTTGTGAGTTCTCCGCTCAAGGTTTGTCCATCACTTTTCATTCTTATTTTTCTAATTTTCTTTGCAATTTTTCGTGTACTTCCTTTTCTTGATTTGACCTGCTTTATCTAAATTTTTTTTTGTGCTTGGTAAGACTCCCTGACCCTATTTTCTTTTTTTTAACTTTTCGAAATTTTTCTTTTCAATATAATTTCCGTACTTTCTTTTGTTTCGTGTGATTTTGTTTGTTCTTGCGATTACACGTCCTCATCTGTCTCTACCGCCTAGTGCGATTGACATTTCTCTGGGCTGTGGAAAGCGATTCCAACTTTGTCATCGAAATATTTTACCTTAGTTTTTCTTTCCGTTCTTTGAGAATTTACTATTTAAACGTCTCCCATATCTTTCAATTTACTCTTTATTTATCTTTGTTTTTGATTTCTCTCTCTTTTCTTTATTTTAAGTTTTATTTCAGTTTCGTAGCGCGAGATACGCAACTGTGATATAACTTTCCCGTTGTCTCTTGTCTATGTCAGGAAATTTCAATTGAGCCCACCCTGCTCTTGTTTTTCTTGCCATTCCCAACAGTCAACCCTCTCTATCCCCATATTTGATTTTTCGCTCTATTTTCATTCAATCGCCAACGTATCTAACTCCCAAGTCTCCTGAGTCTTACCAACACACCTTATTTCCTTTCTTTTTTTGTAACTTTGCATTGTTTGCCTAGATCCATAGTTTTCTTCACTTGAGATGTTTTTCCTTCAGTTGGATTCCGATCCGACTCCCTCTTAAAATCTTAAGTCAAGTGACACGTAGCAAATGTCACCTTGTAAAACGAACGTTTTTCAGGACACTAGCGTCAATTCCTATCGACACCGTCGATTTCCGCATCGACCCCTGTACTTTCCTTAGCGCAAAGGTTTAGTACACCCCTGGAATAACTCCTCTCGAAAGGACATTCCTGTACTGCAACTTCCTCTAGAAAGGCTTGCAGGTTCCTCTAAACTCGAAGTGTATGCTTCTAGATAAGCTGGCTGCGATTTAGTGGACATTTTCTTTCACATGTTTGAATCTTTTTACCTTTTTATCAAATTTTTGCTCGTGTAATTTCTGTTTCTGCAATTTTTGCCCCCACCCTCCACCCTATTTGATTTTTGCTTTCTGCTTGGTAGTTCTTCTGATACTTGAAAAGCATCTCGTAATGCCAAGTTTCCTCACCCTGAGCTGCGGTAGGCTGCAATTTTCGAATACCTTTTTACCTTTTAATTTATTTTATTCAGTTTTTACTATTTTGTCTCACTTCGGTTGCGTAGCGCGAAATGCGTGACTTTTGGTGTAGATTTTTCCCGTTTGGATGTGTTTCAGTCAGGAGATTTTCAGACATTATTTTTTAGTGTTAATTTTTCTTGTCTTCAACACATCTTAACCCTTTTGCTTTCCCCTGTTTAAACTTTCATTACTACTTTGATACTTTTTCTCATGTTTTGTGGTTCAGTTTGCCTTCCGTTAGCCTCTTCTTCACCTCTAGCAATAGATTTGCATTGGTACTCTCTGAGACTGTCAGTTGGTTTTCTTGTCTACATTCATGAAATAGTACATTTTCTTTTTTGTCAAAATTTTTCTTTTTCCCCGAGCACTCTTTCGTAATTTGATTCAAAAATTCCTCTCTCTCTCTCTCTCTCCCCCTCTCTTAGTGTTCCTTCTGATTCCAGTCCGTAAAAAAATGCTACCGCCGCATTCAAAACGGCTCCTTTTGACTTTCCGCAATCAAACTCTCTCCAGGCATTCCCTTCTCTAGCCTCATATTTGACTTTTTTTTTTAGTCAATATCTTTAAAAAAGGCGCTCCTTTTCTAGCCTCATCTCAATCAAAAAGTGAAGTCTACTATTGTAAATCATGGCCATGTAACATCTCTCATGTACAATCTTTTCAATATTGTATCAAATCTTTAACCCCTAGTCTAAACAATGCTCCATCTAGTTACTCCCTCTTGTTGATTTTTGATCTTGTTTTGTCTCGTTTAATATTACATTTTATTCCTTGAAAAAGACAGAACAACATCACTTAAAATTAACGACCCAATGCATTATTCATGACAGTACAGCCAATTTTTTTTTCGTTTTATCATTCTCAGTTTTTATCAATTTGTAATTCTTTCATTTTTAGTTTGTGCTAAAACGCTTTCAATATGCATACGAATCTGACGGGGTTGCTGTCGCCTGCGCAGCAGTAAGGATAAGGCAGAGCACAAAAACTGGGGCACAAGATCTGAGGACCATCTCGGTGTGAACTGACAAATATCAACGGAAATACAAGTGGATGAATACCTCCACTTCACATAGAGGACCGAGCAGACTAAAACTAATCACCACCGGGCGAAAATCTTTTATAATTATAATCCACTTTGATTGTTTCTTTCTTTTTTTTTTCACTCGAATTTATTCTTGAAATCTCGAACTTCAGATCCTGTCTTCGGCTGAGTTGATAAGCGATTTTTTTTCAGGTCCATGTCCAATTCTTTTTTGGAATGATTTGCAGACCAACATCTAAAGCTCGCGTGAACCGACCCCATACAATCTGCGGGGCAGGTTTTGTTAGGAAGCCTCGAGTCGATTTGACCCGGCTTCAGCATTTAAGGATTTATGAAAATATCACTAAAATGACTGCATAGACCTCGCAAAAAGTCAGGATTGGATCCAAAAGAGGTCATTCTGTCTGGGAATTTAATAAAATTTGGTAATGCAATCTCACAAAATTAGGCTCCAATTGTTCGGTCACGTCTGAAAATATTCTCATTTCCAATAAAATGATTCCTGAATGGGACTTCCTGCTATAGACCTCTGATGCATTCAATTGATTTGTTCCTATCTCTTTTTTTACTTGCCTTACTGAATACATTGTTCTTAGCCAAACTCAACACTCTTTTCCCCCCTCTCTCTCCTTCAAAATTTTACATTGTACTCACTAGATTGCATGTTTCATTTTCCGATCGAGGAGGCTAAAAAGATCTTTCTAGCTGACATGTTTCTTGGGTTCATAATTTTCAGACTTATAGACATTAAAGCAATAATTTAATTCGCCAGCTCTGCCTCGGTTTCTCTAGAAATAACGGTGCTTGGATGCTGCTAGTAGCTGTGATTTGTTCTCTTTCTTTTTCATTTCACAAGTCTATCCGTTACTTTTACACGTTCAATTTTGAAATTTTATCTCTGTGCTATCAATCAATTTTGATCCTGAAAATAGCCGGAAATTGTGATGATTTTCCAAACTTTTCTGGGGCCCCCGCCGCGTAGAGGGTGAATCCCCCGGGAAATATCATACTCGTTATCAGAAAAAGGGTGGCATATTTTTTAGACATGCGGTATGCGAAATATGTCCGGCTAAGTATCTTTAGCTCCTAAATTCAAGAATTACTTTGGTTTTTCTCAATCATGCATTAATTTCCAGACACTCAAATTTTCCAAGGAAAATTTATTTTTAAATAATCCCAATTCACCTGGAAAATGACGGAGACAGGGAAAAACCAAGGTCATACGTAGACCCAGGGCTGAATATTACACGAGACTCCGCTTTTAAAGCACTAACTTTTTTTTCGGTGCATACTTGTGTAATCTTCCATAGTCAACAGCGGACCAGTCTTGCGTCATTTTTAAACTTCCTGCGCGAAAAAGTGTATCCTGAGTTAAAAAATTCTTTGGAACTAGGGCGTATACTAGAAAAAGTAGTTCCGCAGAAACCGCTTTTGAAAGTTCAAAAGTGTATAGCGCTGGTTGTAGCCAATATCTTCGCACGAAATTTAATTAATTTAAAAGAACAAGTCTTTGAGAGTACTTGCAAAAACGAAACATTGTGACTACATTCCCCTATGATTCCTACATGATAACGTGGATCGCTGTGTAAAAAAAAAGGGAGGGGGGACTTTTTAGTACACTATGTATATTCCCTGAAACTAGGAAGAATCCAGATTCAGTAAACGCGTTCTCCCGAAAAAGGGCGGATGCGCGCATACGTCTTTGTCCCAAAGAACTCCATGTAACCTGCCGGCGCGGCGGCCGGCGTCTAGAAGAAAAAATCAGTTGCACCTCATGAAATGTTAGCTCTATTTTCGAGTGACCGCGGTGTTGCGCTGTCTATCATAGTTTGCACCTGTAGATGCTTGTCTGAGGGATATTTTCTTGAAAGAGTAGTAGATTTGTCAATCGTCCATGTGCCTCCGTTTTCCTCGTTGGCATGAGATGAGATAGGTCCAGTCAGCACCCGATATGTCCGAAACGCGCCACGCTGCGCTGCGCCTCGTCGCACAGTTTACATTTGATTTGGAGCGGCCTATGCGCAAAACTAAATTCGTCGATAGTACGTCTCTCGTTGTCGTTTTGATCGGTGCGTCGCACTATGGTCCGAATAGCCGGTTTAAGCGGCAATAAATCGAAAAAGTGAAGTTTGGAAAAAGTTAGATTTTAAGCGGTAGATCGATAGTACATACTGTAGAGAAGACTCCTGTAAAATTTCACTTCGATTAAAGCACTAATAAAGATGTGACAAGCCTGGGAAGTGCGGCGCGCGGAGCACTTTATGAGTGCGATTCCAGTTACCGAGCGGCAGTGCTGTGTTTAAGGGCTTGTTTTCGTCGTTTCACCGTACCTGAAAGTGTTTG